GCAGGTCATGATTGGTGGTTTGAGAGACCTATATCCATCAGATGGACGAATAAAAGCTATTAGCTGTAATGTAATTTTTAAAAAAAAAACATAAGAACCATATTAGACCAAGAACTGAGTGGAGTTACAACCTTTTTAACAGGCGGAACACTCATCTCTGTGATGGGTTATGAAGCGTAACAAGTTCGCTTTAGTGCTCGTCGATTTTAACTAAAAGTCCACTGCTGTACGTGAGCCTCCCCCATAGATTGCCTCATAGCCATAGACATTTACGGGACGATATTTACATGTCAAAAGTGAACATAATTTGCTTGGGTGCCGAGCAAGTGGTAAAACAGTGCTAAAATTTGAAAGTGATGTATTCGCTGGAGATTTCGGATTTAAGAACAAAAAATCGCTTGCGTTCTTATTATAAAATATATTTTAAAGTGAAAGCCCTGCCTTACAAAACAAGGACCTAAACTACAGACTACAGTAACTCTACAACTCCGGGATCTAGTCTATAATAGGAAGATACTAGAAATGCTCAAGCTAAGCTAAGAAAATTGTCCATAGATTACTGACTATATACTAGAGAAATTGAAATTGTCATTTGCTATTGTATAATATGCTGATTGGTGTCAAGTTTACTCACTCTTAACCAGCTGCAAAGTTTTTAGTTTTAAAAGTGTTTTGTACCAATAGGAAAAAAAACTAAAGATAGCAGTTTTACATCTGCATGTCGAAGACATTTAATTGAGCTTTAAAAACATGGAGTCTGTCAACTCTCATCTGTACGATTTTAGTTTGAAATTTCCAAATCATGTCTGTGGCCAGCATTAGTATGTTTATTGAATGTTAGTTCTTTTTATGAAATATAAAAAACATTTAAAATTATGTAAAACTTTAACTTTATTTTATTGATTTGTGAATAAAATTTTTGCTATTTATGTATTAAAATTATTGTTGTATGGCATAAGCACCATTTTTATTATAAGATTCTTTTTGTGTTATGTATTAACTATGTCCTTTTATATATTTATATCCTACATGAAATTACAATTTAGAAAAGATATTTTTCCACTCTGTGCCAAAATTATCAGAGTGAAACTCTTATGTAATCACTTCTACTAAAATTTGTTAAAGTAACGTTTTGAAATTATGCATAAAGAGTGTAGAGAGCTCAATAATCTTAAGACATATTTATTTTAATTAAATATAATGTTTCCCGTATAATTGTTTCAATACTATAACGAAAATATTTTAAATAACTTACATCTTACACAACAATTTTAAATAAAAATGCAATTATATTGTACTATACATTTCTACGTTATGTTTAATCATCAACACAATAATTATGACTTGACTTGCATCAGACAGGAAATCTAAACAGGGAATGCAACCCTATAAAACCAACCAGAGTAGTTAGAGGTCATTCTCACTCATTTTGCTGTTTCTTTTCTAGAATCCATTTCACTTTCTAGATTTTTTGCACGCTGCCTTACAATGTTTATCCTAGCGTCCACATTTTCCCAAAAACTGATAAGAATAGGAATTGTATCATTTACTTGCATAGCAATGTTATTAATATCGAGTGCAGTCTTTTGTAATAATTTACTCAGAGACTGCGTTAGATAATAGACAATACATTACTCTGGATCTGGACACAGTACTCATACCATGAACTGTGTTTTGCATAAAGTTGTTACCAGAGAAGCAGCCTTGCCAGCTGTGCTCGGTTCATGCCACTCTGACATATTTCCTACAGTCTTGGCTAGTTTAACAGAATGTCAGGAAATACACCTTGCCGCTCTACCCATCTGGTCTCACAAAGGAATGTTAGCACTCATCCCAGTGTTATAACATGATGTCTTGACAGCATTTTTAGCTCCCTTGTGAGTCTCCATAAAGCATGCATATCAGTATAACGGCACATCCGTTCTCTACCTATCCCAACAAATACTACCCAGTAGTAATTTCAGCAACTTCTTTAACTGGGATAGAATAATTTTCCAATACCACTAAAATAATTTAATTAATGAATTTGTATAGATGAAATTTGTATTTGTAGTATCAACTAAATACCATTTTTTTTATAGAAGAAGGAGCAAACGAGCATGCGGCTCACCTGATGTTAAGTGACTACCGCCGCCCATGATCAACTGCAACACCAGGGAATTGCAGGTGCGTTGCCGGCCCTTTAGAAAGTAGTAAACTCTTTTCCTGGAGGTCCCTATGACGTATCGGTCCGGAAAAATCGCCAGTGGAAAACAATTCCATAGAGAGGTCGTACGCGGAAGAAAACTCCTTGTGAAACATACAGTGATGGACCGCCAAGCATCAAGATGGTGTGGATGGTATCGGGACGTTTGCCGCGTAGTGCGTTCACGAAATTTGGCGGCTGGGATTAATCCGATGCAACATCTCTTCGTAGCGCCAGTGAATCGAGCCGATCGGTAAGCACTCGGTCGTCGACGATTCGAGCCACTCTGCGCTGGACGGGATCAAGTGGAAGGAGCTGGCACTGGGAAGCGCCAGCCCAGAGATGGGAACAGCATTCCATGTGCGGCCGAACATGCGCCTTCTAAAATTGCAGGCGGTGACTGTCCCGCTAGCACGCCAAGCTTTTTAGAGGCCAATTTGGCCTGCTCTTCCAAGTGACCACGAAACTGCATGTCACTCGATATGTCCACGGCGAGGATTCCGATACTGGATGAGACAACAAGGGCAGTGCCTTGAAACTGAGGAGATACGACAAAGGGATTCTTTTTAGGGGTTAACACGCAAACTTGTGTCTTCTGAGGGTTAAACTGGACTAGATTTAGTCCCCAATCCGAGACTGTTCAGCAAAGACTCGACTTCATACACAAGTTTGTCCCGGTACTCGGAGACGTTTTCACGAGAAATATTGGCACTGCCGGTGTACAGAGCATCACCAGTGCTGTCATCTGCATAGCAATGAATGTTACGGGTTTGCAACATATCATTGATATGCAGAAGAAACAGCGTTGGCGATAGCACGCAGCCTTGTGGAACACCAGCATTAATAGGCTTGTAATCGGAGCTTGCACTATCTACAACGACCTTGATGCTCCGATCTGCAAGGAAGCTGGTGATCCAATTGCACAATTTCTCAGGAAGCCCATAGGAAGGGAGCTTCGAAAGAAACGCTTTGTGCCAAACCCGATCAAAGGCCTTCGCAGTGTCCAAACTAACGGCCAATGCCTCCCTTTGAACTCTACTGCCTCCGCCCATCTATGAGTTAGGTAGACAAGAAGATTACCAGCAAATCGACCACGACGAAAACCGTATTGGCGATCACTAATCAGCTGGTGATCCTCAAGGTACCTCATGAGCTGGCAGTTGACAATGGACTCCATTGTTTTGGAGAACAAGGAAGTGATAGGCCTGTGGTTGGACTGGTCTGAGCAGTCGCCTTTTTTAGGGATCGGATGGACGAAAGCCATCTTCCATGATTTTGGGACTACGCCTCGGTGGCGATACTTCCATGATGGCGTACTCCGTCCGTCATCGAGAGTCGAGTTGGACGCAAAGAAAGAGCCTAGCAGATCGATATTAAAAGCAACTCCTGACGTACACACTCTTCAAAATGTATCCTTTGGAACACCTGACACTTGTGAACAAACAGTAAGTTAGAAATTGATATTCCTGTTATAAAAAATATACTATTAACATTCCCTACGCAAACTGTTTCTGTGGATTAAACAAAATTTTAATTAATGTATACTATACTATTGATACAGATGCAAGAAGAAACATTTTTCAAGTCTTGTTTAAAAATTTTAATGGAAAATCTTGATGGCGTATTTTGAATACTACTTGCACTTCATTGTTCTAAATAATTATCTAATATTAGATTAGATTACAATGGGCTGTTTTCTGAAACCCCAAGTCTAAGCGCGTATTTTACATGTGGACAAAAACCTAACATAGGCTACAGCCAGAATGCTAACTCAATACGCTTTACCCTCTTACTTAATTTCAAAGTATCTTAAAAATGTTAAATTGGTCTTTGCATATTATTTAAATATGAACAGAACAATATAATGTATTTTTTTTACTTATCCCTACACTTGGCAAGTAGGTGGGTGCAGATTGTCTCAACAGTTAGGGTTTTTTATATTTTATTTGCATAAAACATTGTAATTATTACAGATGTTTCAATTTTATTATGCCCACATGCTTTGCTATTTTAATACAATATAGCGTGCAAATTACATTTAAACCAAAATAACCTATATAGTATAAAAATTAACAAATTAAACATTTTTATTTAAATTATATGTTTTACAATGTCAAAATGTAGTTTACAATGTCAGAAATTCATTAATGTCATAAATATTTTTGTCAATTAACCAATGGTACAATCTTTTTTTTAAATAAGTTCATATTATGTAGTGTTTTAATTTCATCGGGAATTTTGTTGTATATACGTACACTTATTTATAAACAGCATTTACTATATTTAGCTGACTTCGGAACTTAGCTAGGGTTTGCAATGATAGGTGTTCATAATATTTATCTATTACATTTAATTTACAAATTGCAAAATATGCGCTTAGACATGGAGTTGCGGAAAACTGCCCGTCGTAAACTAACTAACTAACTACATTTAATTTTTAGATTTTCTGGGATTTTTACTGGCATTATTAAAAATAAAAGATAGGGATAGGCTTTCATTCTCAAACTGCTGCCCCCTAACAACTGCTGCAGGGGACATATTCCTCTATTTCTGACCACCCCTTACTATGGCACTGACTGGAGGAGATAGACAGTAAGCACTATTTCTGGTTGTTTAATTGTATGGTAGTGTAATATACAAACGGGTATAATTTTATGATAATGAAAATACAGGAAAGATAATGTTTTATTTCAAGTTTTAATTTACAAATTAATTGATATATGCCTTTAAGCTTGCAATTGAAAAACTCCCAATATCCTCCTAATACTAACTATTTAATAAAAACAAAAAATATCTAAAATTTAAAAATACATACCATCAAATTGTTTTCTTGTGATGCTTCCAGTACTTGTTAGTTGACTAAGTAATTGTAGGAATCCTTTGTCAAAATCTCCTCGCTGCAATGGTCTAACAACCATCCAGTCAGCTCCAGGATTTACAGCACTAATTTTTGGATTGAAAACGGCTGGACTTTTGCTAAAATCTAGCTTCTGAAGTATATCAGGTCGATAAAGATACTCGGACTGGTGCCGATCCTATAAAATAACAATGTTCACCAAAAAAAAAAAAAGGAAGGAATAAAATAAAATAATTATTTTTGTAAGGACTCAATTACCTCAGTTTTATGTGTTTCCATTCCCATCGTTATACTTATTTTTTAATTATTGTAAAATATTATTTAACATTCATATCCGAAAATTACTGATCACTGATTACTTTAGGTAGGTAGTAAAATATAAATTTAAAACTTTCTACAAAAGATACAACATAGAAATTACGTGGCAAGGACAGAGAAGAGAGGAGGCAAGTTTCAGACTTTCACAGTGTTTCAGAGGTCAGACAGGTAATTGCATCTATGGGTAATTACACTTGCTCACTTGACTTCAGTATATTAGAAAGTACTCTGTGCTTGACTTCAACTTGATTTAGGGATGTTCGATGATCATCGAACAACGATGATTATTTGGGGTGAACCCATAATCGAATAATAAGAACTTGTAGACAATGCAAACTCGCGAAATTAATATCAACAAAATCTTGTATCTAATATTGAAAGTTTAAAATTTTCTATAATTCAGAATTCCTATACGCATCGATCACCTAAAAAAATACCATTACGGTGATGTGTCAAACTTAACTTTCAAGTGTGAATTGTAATGTCACATTTTTTGACACTGGTTTCATTTTGTTGATTTGTAGTGTCGTTATCGGTTGTCGCCTCATAACTATTCTACGTAAATTGATATTCAAATTAATTGTTGTATCCCTTGCTGTCTATACCCACATAATTTTGAAACAATTCAATTGTAAGTAGCTGCTTTTTTGAACGTGTCATAACGAGTTTTTGTTTGCTTGAAGATTATGAAAATAAATCACTGAGCGATCGTGAGCATAGACAATTTCACTGCATATAAGTCAAGTTCAGAGTACATTCGACTGTGCATTTTATAAATGGCTGTGGATATTTAGTGCTTGTGCTACCTGATTAAAAATTGTGAACAAAGGTGACGGAAAAGACTATTATTTTGTTTTTGTGTAGTTTGTTAATTTTTTCTCAATAATCATATTTTTTATTTCGCAATAGGAGTATTTGATATAAAACCTACGGCAAAATCGTAAATTAGGTCCTATAGCTTATTTTTTCACACCGTATTTATGAATGTATAGAAACATTTAAAGGTTAAAATAGTAACATCATTATCAGTAAAAAATATAACAAATGAACTAGATATTTCTTAACTTCTTCCCATTTTTTTAATTACTGTTTGACACTAAAAGTTTTATTAATTTCTTTTATTTCACTAGTGATAAACCATAAACAACATTACTAATTTTTTATTCATCTAATTTTAACCTATCAAATAGGTACTCACACGTGCAAAAAAACATCGATAATGACCAACACCGATGTTTTGAGTAGGATAAACATCGAACATCGATGTTAACCTATCGATATCAACATCGATGTTTTTGTAACATCGATATCCCTAACTTGCTTGCTAAGTTACCTATCAACCACAGAGTACATTGTACATATATTTAAGAAACTATCAACTGCCCTAATAGACATGTGTCAATCATGAATGACTCGTTCGTTTGAGCTGGTACACTTAAAGTATTGAATTGATGATTCATCCACCTGTTTTTGAATGTACCGGTACAACCAATCACAAACAATTGACGGAACCTTTTTAACTCGTGATTGGTGTGAATAAGAATGAGCCGAAAACCGACCTAATCCCAAATGATCTGAATGAACAGGCAAATCGAATAAACAAAGCAGAATGTAGAGTATCAGGAGCATTTATTATTTAAGTTTTTTTTATTGTAATATTGTTACCTAAATGAAAAATTATTTTACATTTTATTATATTTATTTGTTGCATCCATGAGTTAAAAATATCATTTCGTAGGGTTTACTAAAAGTCACACTTCAAAAAATTTTATGGTAAATTATTTATTTAATATGATAATTTTGAACCACCTTCTATAAGTATAGGAAAAAAGTTTAATTTTGTAGCAAATAAACCTAATATATAAATCCTGATTTACATACATGTAATTTAAAATGAAATTCCGTTTTGTTAGGAATGAAATTTAAAATTAAACAACTTTTTAAAATTTATTATATATTTAAAATATATAATATTGAATTATCAATTAAATCAAATCAATTGAATCACTTGAAGTTTATGCCATCTAGCGTCTATTGTACTTACCACTGAAGATGGGCCAAATATTCGTTTTATATTCGGTATTCGGCATATTCGGCAGGTTTACCGAATATTCGTATTCGCTGAATATTCGACCAAATCACCGAATATTCGGTAAAGTGGTACTCAAAGTATCCACTGTATGGAAATCTACGAATTGAGCAATGTCATGTCTTTCATCATTTTACTGTTGTAAGTATGTTTATTTATGGGTGAAATCTACTTGTATAACGATATGTTTTTAAGGAACTGTAGATTTATTTCCAATTATAGCAAATAGAAAGCTTGATAAAATTTTGCTTGGAATCAAACAAAGAAACATTACATTACAGTTGTCAATTTCTCTAAAATTGGTCCAAATAGTAGATCTCCTGCCACTCATTTTCATCACATACTTGTCAATTTTCACTAAGAATACTTTTTTCTCACAAAAATCGTTAAAATATAAGCATGTACCGGCAATTTGCTCAGTACATGATGATCAGATGATGAAATAACATGTTAGGTGTGGCGGGGGAGCATGGGGAAGTCTCTGGCGGTAATCTCGCGCGCTTTACGGTAACAAGTTTCGACATAAATTGGTTAGGTACCTCGGTAATCCTGGCGAATAATGTCCCATCCCTACTTACCACCTTGAAAGTCAGTAAATTTTAATTCGATAAAATTACTTTATTACCTATAGCATGTAGTAGATGGCGCTATTACAAAGTCAAATAAAAAAATTTCGGTTCCCAATAGATCTCACAAACTCACAGAGTACTGGAGCCCGAAATGATCCATTTGAATTATTGATCTGAATGTACTGGTACGCGTGACAAAATGTGCTAGAATGATTCGGTCGCTAGAAATGAATGATTGACACATGTCTATGCCCTATATATACTTGGTCTATGCTATTAACCTATCATAGATAAATAAATGTGTAGCAAGCTAGGTACATAGTATATAGGTATATAGTAAATTATCTATGTAACGTAACTATGAGGTACTCTTATCGTAGATAGAGAAACCTATAGACTAACGATTAGCGTGGCCTCGTGTGAGAAAGGACGATAACGTAGTTTTAGGTTATACAATAATCTTTATTACTTTTAAACATATTTAGATAAAAAATTTAATTGTTCTAAGAACTGAACTGAACAAGATTCACCAATGTTAAGCTCACAGAACACTTTTTTCTCACTTAAACCAACTTGTAAACTCGTTAGATCACTACGAACTGTCAAAGTTGTTTAGCAAAGTGTAGTATGCTAAACAAAAAACCGGCACGGAGAAAGGGACAAACAATCACATTGCTCTGTCTCATTTCTATGCAAGACGTATGCATAAATCTATCTTTTTCGTGTGCGAATTCGAAAGAAGGCGTCAATTTGTCTATAGGTTTCTCTGTCTACGTCTTTTATAGTCTCTCTTGCGGAGCGTTGCGAACACCAATTTGTCAAGTTCCCTCAAAATCCATGTGAATTTCCCCAATTTGGGGAAAAAACAACAGCTTCTCCACAAATTCCCCTCAATTTTATTTAAAGAAATGAAACAAGTTTCAACTAATTTTATAAAATTTATTTTTAACTTACAAATGTGGTGCAATGAAGATAATTAAAAAATGGAGTCATTCGATATTCATAAGTAACCTTACAAAAATGTTAAGAGAAGTATTAGATTTCTTGAAAAAGAGTTCTGACTTGATCCAAGCTATCGATTTTCATAATCCTCGCATTTTCCCCGCATAATAACGATCCCCAAAAAATCCCCAATCAATTTAAGATTCCCGCAGTTTGGGGAATTCCCCACATGTTATTTATATTATTGAGTGTAGAGGTAGTAGAACAATCTCTCATAGGAGAACAGTTGAAAATGTGTCCATCTGTAAGCAATAAATAACCGTTCAAAAACTCTCCACAACGACGCTGGAGTAGCTACAGGAAACAGCTACATGAAATGAACTTAGCAGTTGTCGACGGGCGAAATGTGCTACAAAATTGCTCAGTAGCTCTAAAATCTAAAATAATTTTATTTCGTAAATATAACGTCAATAAAGTCGTCTATCCCACTAATATTTTTCGGCGCGTTCTTTTTTACCCCGCAGCTATGGTGGCGCCACCCTTATTTAACGGTTGTCTACGGACACTTTTTAATACACAATCTGTACTCCTTACCTCTACACTCCATAATTTATATGTTTATGTGGAGGTACTCTTTGTATTTGGAATGTGACTTGTGAAGTGAATGCAAGCAAATAATATAACACGCGGATTATCCTCTTAGTAGTCTGCGTCTGCAAATATAACTTACACAGAACTGTATTATTCCTTAGCTTAATATCTGTGGTAGTACCTAGTACGTAGTTGTGTTAAAGTAGGTATCTACTAAAACTTTCTGTTGGTAGGTAGCACAGATCACTTTGTACTAGTCTACGAGTAGGTGCCGATAATATGTGACCAAAGAGTATATTAATTGTCCTATACAGGAAGTATGCATAGTTAGTTACAAGAAAAATAGAGGATAAGCAGTAAATTGCATATATACTTTTTGGTTATACAAATATCATGCAAACGTGAACCTTGCCGACAAAAATATAGCCGTCTCCTTCTTACACGTCATAACTTTTAAATGTAAAAAAGACAAATACATATCTTAGACTTAAATTTTCTGTTGACATTTTTCATAATATCACCGAGCTCTACCTTGAAGAATGATGCCATTTAAAGCGATTAACACATGGCACCGCGCACCGCCGCGTCTGGTGGAGGCTATAAAGGGGATTTCGTAGTGGTGTTACGCTGTAAGGCGGTGTACGCACCTGTCAGCGCGGATGGATTTGACGCGTTTTTGACCAGTTTAATCACAGACACTGACAAGAATGGACGCTGAAGTGGTGGAAGCAATCTGACTTTTATTACGTAGTAGAAAGAAAAAATAAGAA